GTTCAGCAGAGCGTGACCCAGCGCCCCCTTTCTTCCCATGGCGAGGCGGGGACTCAGCTCAGTGCTCCTCTACTGCTGAGATTGGAAACCCCACGGAGCTCACCAGGGCCTCTGATCTGTGTGTCCTGGGAGCGACTGTCCACAGAGGCGCAGACTGCGGAGCCCTGGAACCGCGGCCCAGCTCTGCTGTCCGCCCAGTCGCTGACCTGTGACTACTCGTTCTGTCACTCAGGAGAAGGTGGAAAGGCAGCGGCAGCGCTTCCGGCTGGAGTTCGAGAAGCAGCGTGGCTTCCTGGCCCAGGAGGAGCACCTGCAGCTGCGCAGGCTGGAGGAGGAGGAGCAGGCCACCCTGCAGAGACTGCGTGAGAGCAGGAGCCGGCTGGGCCAGCAGAGCAGGGCCCTGAGGGAGCTGGCTGAGGAGCTGGAGGGCAGGTGCCGCCGCCCTGCCCTGGGGCTGCTGGAGGTGAGGCCAGGTCTGCAGGAGGCTGGGCAGGTGTGAGGCTGCAGCGGCAGGTACGAAGCTGGTCTGTGGCCTTCAGGCCATGCAGGAACAAGCTCAGTCCTGACTGTTGGCAGCAGAACCAGAAGGTGCCCTGGAAGATTGTGCAGTTCATCCTGTGTATGCCGGAGAGATGTGAGCTCACGGGAGAGAGAGCTCGCACCCCATGGCGTGGTCACTGCAGTTCTCCTCCACTCCTGCAGGCCGTCAGGGCTTGGCACACTCACAGGTGGGCCAGGAGTTTCCCAGGCCGGCAGGACCAGGATTTGAACCACAGTCAGCCACACAGGACCCGGCTCCCTATGCCTGGGCAAACCGCTGCTCTATGGGCTGGCCCTGTGGTTCATATAAAAGACAAAAACTTGAATATTAAAAGCTGAAAGTAATGATTTATGAAAATTTAGGTAAAGCACAAGCTACGCTGTCTTGGTCTGTCATCAGTATTTTTATTTTCAGCAACGTACAGTTTAAAAAGTCTTTGGTGACCCATTTCCATGGAATAGCCAGTGGGTATAACTTTATAATGTCCAGCTTGGATTTTTTGTGTTGGGTTTTCAGCGAAGGCTGCCCCATCCACTATGTGGATGTGGAGAGGAGGAGTTACGTGGACACCCTGTACCTCTCCCATCTGTTTGGGTCCCAGTGCCGTCAGCTGGGTGACAGGGAAATGAAGAACTGTGTGTAACTGTCATGAAGATGTTGAATCCCGAGTGAGCCCACTGGTTCTAACTCATGAGGAAATTCAAAGACAGCCTGTTTTTGGCCTTAATGTGAAGAGATCTATTGTCCCCCGTAGTTCTAGTTAACGAATTCCAGCGTGTCCTAAGGAAGTGCTCACAGTGTCTCCGGTCTAACTACTGAACACACTCCACATGCCTCACCCTGTCCCTGCTTCTCTTTCACTTGCAGGGCGTGAGCGACGTCTTGAGCCGGTATGTTTCCTCTGAACTGTGAGGGGTCAGCAGAGGCAGGGACCCTGGTGTAGCCCGCTCACATCTGTGCTCTTCTCAGAAGTCAGGCTGTCACGCGGCTGGAAACGGAGCCCATCGCCATGGAGGTGAAGACAGTCTGCCGCATCCCTGGGATGAGGGAGATGTTGAGGAAATTCTGGGGTAGGTTACGTCTTCAGTCTGGGCTCGTGCTGCCCAGCATGATCAGGCTGCTGTGACGAGCAGGAGCCATTCTGGGGGCCAAAGTCAGCCAAGATTTAGTTTGAGAACCTGCTACTGGCTTATTCCTGGCCCGAGGGCGTCTGGGTTGCACCGTCACTCCAGGCCCCATGTGACTTCGTCTCCTTCCTGCTACAGTAGCCGTGGAAAGAACCAGGTTATTGAGGTGCTTTCTCTTCCCGAGTTGAACATGGCCTCTCGGTTACCACAGTGTGTGGGCCTTCTTCGTACCAATAGCCGGTTGTTCTCTGGTGGCTTCTCCACCGGGTCCTCTGACTCCATTGGATTCTGACACTGTACCTGGAGACAGCAGCTGAGGCCCAGTCCCTGGAGACTGACTCCAACTCGGAGGCCACCTGGAGCTCTGCTGTGGCTGTCGATCCAGTTCCCATGGCCTGGTGCTCAAATGGCCTCCAGAACTTAGAGAAAGCGTGCTTACATTTAGCCACAGAGCACGCAGGGGAGCAGCCGGTGGGGAGAGATGCGTGGGCCAGGCATGGGGACGAGGGCTCCGTGAGCTCAGCTTCAGCAAGCCCCATGCCAAGAAAACGACAAGTCCATGCCTCATTTCCTTAAATGAAACAGAATATGAAGAATGTAAGACAATGGTAAAAACATGTTGAAAGAAAGAAAAGGAGTATGATCAGGATGACCAGACCTTCTGTTTTAAACCAAGTGACCAGGAAAGCCCTCACCTGCGAGGAGATGACGCGGCAAAGACCCATTTTGCATTCGGGCAGAAATGAGGAGGGCGGCCCGGGTGGCGGGCAGGTGTCTGGGGAGGGTAGCCGAGTGTGCAGGGGGGCCAGAGAGGCCACTCCAGAGCAGTTCTCTCTCAGAGTGAAACAGGAAAACATTGAAAATCTGCGAGTGGAAAAGAAGTTTAACTGGGCTAATGCAGTATAAGAATGGACCTGTGTGTTTTATTGAGAGTAAACTGCAGAGAAGCAGTGAGCGAAGATTGGTTATGGGCTATTGGCGATCATTTAGCGAGAGATGATCACAGACTGGAACAGGTGCCAGCTCTGGAGGTGCTGAGGAATGGATAGATTACTGCCATGTTTAGAAGTAAGAGTCGGCCAGACTCGCTTTTGTATTAGACAGGACGTGTTGCGGAGAGAGACAGCCATGATGACTTAGGGTTCGCATCTCGACAGTTAGCATCATGGTTGCTATTCGCATGGGGGGCCACGTCTCTCCTTCCGAGCTCATTCAGCTTGGGGAACAACGCAGTCCTTGTGGCTGTAGGATGGCTCCTCACCTTCTCGTGGCTGTCACTGGGGGCCACTCCTACCTCTGGAGATCTCTGTCTCCCTCCTCATGTAACCCCTCCACGTTCAGCCGGACAGAAACCAGGTCCAAATCTTTCTGACTTGGCTATCACTCACCAACCCCAAAGGGAGAGCTTTCATCTTGAAGAGATCATGTGATTTGAGTAGACTCACCCAGATAATCTCTCGTCATCAGGTAATGAGGGTAACCCAGGCGTGGAGGTCATGGGGTCCATTTTAGAATTCTGGCTACACAGTAGTACAGCTTTGAAAGCAGCGGATTTCATATTAGTGAAATTCTCCTGTAGGTTTAAGAAAAAAATCTCCAAGGGGTTTATACTTTTTCTTGAAGTTTGTTTCTGCCATGAATGAGAGAGACAGAAAGAGATAAAGGGACAGGGGCAGAGAGACAGCATGACCAACAGGGCCTTGATGCTGGGCCCATCCCCAGGCTCACAGCCCTGGGTCATGGACACACTCAGGGAGGTCTTGGGCCAGAACCTGAATCTCCACCTGGGTGGCCCTGGTGGGCCTGGGAGGCCATAGTGTTGCTGTGGGTGCTGTCTGGTACACAAATCTTACCTTAAAGCGGGTTCTCCTAAGTGCACTGCAGGGTCTGGAGGCGTGAGGGGAGCTGCCTGGCTGGCTTCAGGTGTGTCATGTCACCACAGTCGCCTTTACGGGGCCCTGGCGAGCCTGGGCTGTGCCAGTGCCCAAGGGCGCTGGGCACCTGCAGTGGACACGCTCTCAGGGCTCTGGGAGCAGCCGCTGTGCGACTCTCAGGGCTGTGCGCCTGCACTGGTGGCATTGCAGGTCCTCACCGTCCACCTGCCCATCCGTCCTCTCACACGCCCTGACCTCTGTCCACAGCCGACGTGAAGCTGGACCCGGCCACAGCGCATCCCAGCCTGCTAGTGACTGCGGACCTGTGCGGTGTCCAGGACGGAGAGCAGTGGAGGGACGTCCCCGGCAACCCCGAGCGGTTCGACACCTGGCCCTGCGTCCTGGGCCTGCAGAGCTTTGCGTCCGGGCGGCATTACTGGGAGGTCGCGGTGGGGGAGCAAGCCGAGTGGGGCTTGGGCGTCTGTGAGGACGTGCTGCCCAGGAAGGGGGAGACCACGCCGGCCCCCGAGAACGGGGTCTGGGCCGTGTGGCTGCTGAAGGGCAGCGAGTACATGGTGCTGGCCTCCCCCTCGGTGCCCCTGCTCCAGCTGGACCGGCCCCGCCGCGTGGGCGTCTTCTTGGACTATGAGGCCGGCGAAGTTTCATTTTACAACGTCACCCACGGCTCGCACATCTACACCTTCTCCCAGCTGTTCTCGGGGGCCCTCCGGCCGTATTTCTTCGTCTGCGACACGACCCCTCTTATCCTGCCATCTGTGACAGAAGCAGAGCCCGGCGGTTGGACAGCCAGGGCTCATCCTGCCTCTTCCTCTGAGGTCAGAGGTGCTCATTCCTAACATTTTGTTCCCAAGACGCTTTCCCAGCCTAAAGGAAGGCCCCTGGGTGGAGTGGACGCTGTAACAGCGGGGCCTCAGCAAAGTCCCCGCCTAGGTCAGCAGGTCACTCCAGCTGTGGAGATTTTCTCATGGAGACAAGGAGAAAACGCGGAGCGTCTGCACATGAAGGGACGCTGGGCAGGACTTGACTGGAGACACGGGCAGTCTCATCAGACTGCTTCCCAATGGCTCCACGAGCCTTCTCTGGATCTTCAAAATAATGACTGCTTACTAAACCAAGGCTTCTAGATTGCCATTATACTTTCTCATTTATTTCAGTACCCTTCATTCCAAGTCTTCAGTGCGAGTCAGCAATGGCTGCTTTTAAACTGGTCCAGACCAGTTCGATGTGCTCCAGCTCAGACACATAATTTTGTTTGTCTCTCCTCCTCCGTTTGCTTTTTCTTTTCTCATTTTCTCTGTCTTCCTCTGCCTCTTTGTTTCTCTTTGTCTCTCTTTACCTATTTTTGTGTCACATCTCTTACTGCCTAGCCTTTCCTCTCCTAGACGAACATACCCAGAACTGTGCCTGCATGCAGCCATGTGCCATAGGACCATATTAGGTTAAAATCTTCCTTATCCTGGGACAGAATTTGAGGATTATGAAATTCATTCCTCTGAACCTAATACTATTCATTCCTGGGATTTTTCTTTCACTTTTGGATACATTTTCTAAAGCAAGAGTTTCTCAGAGTTTTGACTCCACTAGCTCTTTGACCTAGACGTGGACCAGTAATGGGACCTCAGGCAGAGGCCGCTGTCTCCCTCCCAGTCTCAGCCACTTGGTGGTTCCTCTCGTGGATTTGATGTCGGCCTCAGTGTTACAGTAAATTTTATTTTTTTGAGACGTTTTTGCTAGAGGGCGCATGTGCTCGCCAGAAAGACAGAGACAGAGACAGAGACAGAGAGACAGAAAGCGAGAAATCATCCCCCCCCACTCCCACCCCCGGGGGAGCTGGCCACGCCGCAATCCCTTCTCCTCCATTCTCCTCTCGGGATTTTGGACACGCACACACATGCGCCTGGCATGAATTTAAGCCACCAGGTCCAGGACTCAAACCACGGTCGACTGACTACATGGGAGTCCAGCAACGTACCATTACACCACCTGCTGGTCCCATGTTATAGTAAATGTTAAGGCCACAATTGATTTGATTGGTTTAAATTCAATTTTGCTATTTAAATACAATATAAAAATTGATATGATGATAACAAGATAATAACATTTAGCTTATTTATGAGGTATATTTCGCACCTATCAACAAAGTTCTTAAAAACCATTAAAGGGCAACTTTGCTGCCATTTTTTTTTATGTGTCAAGTAATTGCTAAATAAATGCTAAAATGCTTAGATGCTAATCAAATGTAAATTAATGGCATGTTTAGTTAATGCTATCTCCATAAAAACCTGCTGAAAGCTTACCCTTCCTGTTCAAATCTAACCAAAGGTTACGATTTTCTCTCCCAGAGAGATTTCTTTGGCCTCCTCATGTACTTCTCAACCAGAGGGTCGGTGCAGCTTTCTCTTAGGACTTGGAACCACCTGCCCTTAGTGAAGAGCCCTTCTCTTTTCTTCATTGTCGGTATTTGCCTTTCCCGATGCGAGGTCTGGATGGGAGGGTGGGCTAAGCTCAGCGGTGGAGCCCCTTCCCCAAAGGTATCAGGAGACTCAGGGCCAAGGGTTTGCGATCACACCTACCTGGGGCTCCTCCATGCGGGGTCAGGAGGCCTGGGAGTGAGAAGGAGGCGACCGCACAGCCTTTCACCCCTCACAGAGAGAAAGGGTGCGGCCCTGCGTCACTGCAGGAGTGCGCCGCGCCACCACGGCGGGGAGGTCCCAGGTTGCTGCCCAGGTCTCCTACTGCACCCTGGGGGCACATGGTGTGCTGTGGCCCTGGCTGCTGGGAGTCTTAGGAGACCTGAACCTCAGTCCCTTCTCTGAGTCTGTCTCTTGTCCCTGCCTCCCTCTTCATTCTGCTGTAGCTCCCTTGGCCTCCTGGCTGTGTTAATACCACACTAGGCACTTTCCATGAGCCTCCTTTAACCCTGTCAGACCCAGCTTCTCAGAGAGGACTGCGCAGCCCCGCCCAGCCAGGGTCAGCCAGGTTCAGTAAGGCTCTTTCCCAGGTAGTTCTTATCCTGGTGTATTTCTTACAGTGCTCTCTTACGAGGTTTGTTTTTATTTATTTATTTATTATTATTTTACCTTTCCATGGTAGAACGTAAGCCCATCGAAGGGAGGGAACTTTGTCCCTCAAGAATGATATGTTTGGGACCAGCAGTTAGCGTAATGGCTATGTCGCTGGACTCCCACGTAGTCGACCACGGTTCGCGTCCTGGACCCGGTGGCTTAAACTCACGCCAGGCGTGTGTGCGTGCGTGCCCAAGATCCCGAGAGGAGAATGGAGGAGAAGGGATTGCAGTGTGGCCATCCCCCAGGGGGGTGATTTCTCGCTTTCTGTCTCTCTGTTTCTCTCTGTCTGTCTGGCGAGTGCACGTGCCCTATAGCAAAAACCTTTCCAAAAAAAAAAAAGGAAAAAGAATGATATGTTCATCGGGACTTCCCTGGCATCTCAGACTCTGGTTTGTGTGTGGTTACCTTGGATGTGCGTTTGGTGAATGAACAAACAGTGACTATCTGGAGAGCAGAATTGAATGATTGAACTGAAAGAATTTCGTGAACTGTAGTATATTCTGATATTTTTACTTACAACAAGACAACTACTGATCAATAAACTTTAATGTCAAGAGCTAAATGAGCAAAAAGTTATTTTAGAGTTTTTTTTTTTTTTTTTTTTTTGCTATAGGATATGTGAGCTTGCTAGAGAGACAGAGGCAGAGAAATAGAAAGCAAGAAATTGACCCCTGGGGAAGGGTGGCCATGCTACCGTCCCTTCTCCTCCAGTCTCCTCTTGGGATTTTGGGTATACATGCACCTGTGCCTGGCATGAGTTTTAAGCCACTGGGTCTGGGACTTGAACCATGATTGACTATGTAGGAATCCAGAGACATAACCATTACACCATCTGCTGGTCCCGCAAAATCAGTTTGTATGTACAGAGCAAATTGTATTAGGAGTCAATGACTAAGTTGGAGAGATGGTGGATCCTAGAGGTGTCTGGCTGTGTGTTTTCTGAGGTGGAAACCAAACACGATTGCACAGAGATTTAGTAAGAGTTCACCGTCCAAGGGTAACTCACAGGCTGCAGGTGTTTTCAGTGGGGCTGATTCTTGCTACAGAGCTGCAGGTCACGACCTGCTTCTGAACTGTAGGACAGAAACCTCACTCTGCAGCAGAAGCAATGGCACAAACCAGGTGGTGACTTCAACCCCTAACATCTCGGGGGTGGAAATTGGGAGCTAGGATTTGTTAAACCTGCTCCAAGCACCGACCGTGATGCAGCTGGGACCTGCTGTAGTTCTGTCACTCCTGTCCTGCGATACAGGAGGAGGGGTGGCCTGCACGTGCCCCCACGGGGGGCATGTTCAAATCTGCAAACTTGTCACACTCGCCCACGGACAGTCTTGCTCTTTACCCTCGAATTCCGTGACTGTGTGTATTCAGAAATGCCCAATAATTTCGATAAATTCCTTAGTCAAGTGATTCAAACTGTCTGTTTTTTCTCTGATATCACCTGGCTGGTTGCAGGGACTGAATGTCTATTCATTTACTTGTTTATCTCATTTTAATGCCATGTCATTTTTACATTTATAAGAGCATTAAAAACATGTCCACAGGGACCAGCAGGTGGCGGGGTGGTTAAGGAGCTGCGTCCCACATGGCTGTCTGGACCTGGTGGCTAGAAAAAACATGCTGGGTGCATTTGTGTGCGTGCACATGCCCAAAATCCCAAGAAGAGAATGGAGAAGGGATTGTGCTGCAGTCGCCTCCCTGTGGGGTGATTTCTCACTTTCCCTCTCTTTTTGTCTCTCTCTGGTGAGCATACACACTATATAGCAAAAACAAAACAAAACAAAAACACAAAACAAAACAAAAAAAGTAAAAACCAAACAAGTTTACATGCACATGGTCTAGTTACTCAGTTAGTTTATAGCAGGGGCCCCCAGCCCCCTGGCCACAGACTGCTGTCTGTCAGTGGCTGTGGGGAAATGGGCTGCACAGCAGGGGTGAGTGGCAGGTGAGCCAGCGACGGTCATCTGTGTACAGTTCCTCCCCAGCTCCGTTGCCTGCTGTCACACCGGTGGCGTAGACTCTCACGGAAGCGTCAACCCTGTGAATTGCACATGCGAGGTGTCTCGGCTGAGTCCTAGGAGAGTCTCACGCCTGATCTGGTGGAGCTGAGGTGGCCGTGCCAGCCCTGGGGAGTAGCTGCAGATACCGGATTATGGAGAGCTGTGTAATTACGTCATTCTGTGTTACAATGTGATGATACAAATAAAGCTCAGATCAATGTAATGGGCTTGAATCACCCTCTCTCCCACCCTCATCTCCAGTCTGTGGGAAACTGTTTTCTAGGAAACCCGTTCCTGGTGCAGAGACGGTGAGGACGGCTGGTGTACAGTACTTGCTTAATTTCCTGAGTTGATTTTTGAAACTGAATTTAAAATGCATCTATATTAACACCCTCTTTTCAAATCAGATGCATTTCAGTAAATAAGTAATAAAGCAGTGTAGGCCACCCCGTTAGCTCCTGAGTGATGCGAAACACTTCCCGGTCACTGATTTGCCTGTGAATTCTCCGTTATCTGGGCCAATAGGCTTTTTCTTTCCCATACATAAAATTATTAGTAAAAAGGAGTCAGAATACTTTCATCCTATTTTCAGTAGATATAAGGAGAAAAAATACCCACATAACTCTGTTCTGGTAGGATGAAATTGATTATGCCTCGCTGTCTTTCTGTCACACAGTAACTCCTGAGAACAGGGGAGGAGATTTAAGAGCAATAATGCATTGAGTCCTGTCATTTTACTTACATGAGAGAGTAAATCTTTTTCCTTAAGGGACCGAGTCTAATGTTCCTCCTGTTGTCTGGACCCTGTGGGAGACGGGGAGTCTGGTGTGACACTCGCCCCTGAGGTGCCGTGGTGTGTGTTAATGAGCCCTGTGGGCTGCAAGTGTCCCCAGAGCACCGCGGTGCTGCTGAGTGCCGACCATCACGGGGTCCCTCCCCAGTCTTACCCAGGAGAGCCCTGGCATCCCATAACTGCCACCACCCCGCTGTGCGCATATTGGGATCCAGAGGAAGGGGCTGGGTGGGTGAGGCACCTCCATTTCCTCCCACAAATGGAACTGCACCCTGCAGGAGGAGGGGAGAAGACGGTGCACGATTCAGCTGGAGTACTCCTGCCAGGTCTGCGCCATCGCATTCTGGCTTTAAGCAGCACCTAGCAGCGTGCGCCAGAATGGTGAGTAGATCTCTGGATGCAGCAGCTCAGCTCAGAGCCTGGAACTGCTCCGCTGGCTTGCTGAGTAAAGAAGCATACGGAATGCTCGAAGGTACAGGCGGATAGACAGTGAGGAAGGCCCCCCTCACTGTGGAAGGGTTACAGAGGGGAATAGATGCTCCGAGACCCAGACGCACGTGCAAATGCATGCCTTGCAGCTCGTGCTGTTTAATTACAAAAAAGCAATACATATCCAAGGCAAATGAGTTTTGAAAGATAAAACAGAAAAGTGCTGAGTAGACAATTATAAAGCACAATATAGATTCTTCATGTTTGTTTGATGCTGGAACTGGAGTGTTTTGGGGAAAAAAGATAGATTTATCAGGCGAAAGGTAGAAAATGAGATCCGTGAGTTTTATGTTGACCCCTTCTCCCCCACCAACAAAGAAAAGAAAGAAAAGAAAAGGAATGAGGGGGGAGATGGACTCTCGTCGACTTGAGTGGGAGCTCCTGACCTGCACCCTGCTCTGAAAACCCAGACCCCGTTCTAACACCCTGCTGTGGTAGTGCACAGTTGTGAGGTTAAGGCTTTTTAGTGATCAAGATGAGAGCTGTGTGTGCAGCCGCTGGGGCACTTCCCACCTTCCTGCGCCACCTCTCACTTGGGGAGCTCGGGTCTCTTCCTTTCAGTACTTGGCCTGGCCTTTCAGTGTCTCCAGCTTCAAGTCCCCAGGTGGGGAGGTCTTGACCTGCTGCATTAGCTCAGGACCAGTGGGCTGCTCACGTCCTCCTGGAGTGCCCGCTCTGCCCGGATAGGAAGAGGGAGCTGGGTGGGGCCCAGTGTCCTCCTCCCCAGGAGAGGGCCCTGGGGACTGGTGACAGCCACACGCGGTGTTGTGGAATTTGCTTCCAGGAAAACGGAGTGCCCATGAGGTGAACCCATGAGGTCTGCAGTGGCCCTGGAGGATCCTTAAAAAGTGCTGGTTGTTGGGAGCCAGGGAGCCGTGACAGCTTCACTGCTGGGCGGGAAGGAACCTCAGCACAGAGGGAAGAAAAGCGATCACTACCTTCCACAGTTTAAATTTAGGGAAAAAATATTTGTCCTTTCCCCAAACCTTCAGAAAAGTGAAAGTTCTATGGATGTCGTATGAAAGCCTTCAGTGCTAGCCACGGCTTAGGGACACGCCGTCCGAGCGGCAGTGGCCAGAGCAGAGCTCCGGTTTCAGGTCCCGTTCTGTAGGAGGGAACGGTGGCCAGTTCTCGCTTTGAGAAACTGCCTGGGCTCGGCAGAAGCAACTCTCAGGTAGTGTTTTCATCCAGAACCTAGGGCTTTGACGCAGAGCTGTGGCCAGCCAGCACGCGCGCACCTGTGAATGCCTGCGAGAGTGGGGCCTCGTTTATCTTCACTGTTTCAAAGGGCAGAGACCGAGGTCAGAGCTGCCGTCCTGCAGCCGCACGGATGGCAGTGGCCTGTCCCGCGGCGGCGGCGCCCCCGCCACCGCGGGAT